CTATCTATCTATCTATCTATCTATCTATCTATCTATCTATCTATCTATCTATCTAAGATCCCCCTCTTTCTATCTTTTTTCTATCCCCCCCCTCCCGCACAATCTATATATCTCTCTATTCCTATTCTATCCCTTTGTTTCTAAATGTTTGTCTGAATTTTTGCACACTCTTGTGTCAAATGCATTTAATTATTCCATTGCATCACGACAGGGTATTTTTTGTCAATACCCATTCTTCTCTGCTGAATTATTGTTGAATGTTCTGTGTTGTATTCCTGTCCTAGCCGTGCATCTCCCCTCTCTCTCTCATCAAACCTTCCCTTGTTAGCTCCACGGCTCCAATTCAACCAGCCACAGTCCAGTCATCAATGGATTTGTCAATCAATAATTTGGTTACTTCAAGCGGAAACATTGTTTCGTTTCTTTTCACATTCTAACGCACATGACAACGAATCTGTTATCCATCCAAATAAAAAAAGGGTCCGGAACGAGAGAAGAAAAAAAAGGAAAGAGAAGGAAAAACTTGGAGGGTGCGGGGAATAAAGAAATAAATGGTTTGTGGGTTTGTGTGAGGGTGGGGGAGGGGTGGGGTGGGGGGTGGGGGGGGTATGATTATAAGAACCAGGAAGGGAAAACATGAAATTTTTAATGAATTTTCTCCATTTTTTGGGAATATTTTGCTGGTTTCTGTTTTAAAATGTAATATTTGTAAAAGTCTGTATTGTGTGATTTGATTATAAGATATTTGGTCGGAGAGTGTCGTTCACAGGCGCACAAAGAAATCATTGTTGTAAAAAAGCATTGACTTCAGGAGATAACTACAACTGTCTCTTGTGCATTGTGTCACATTCAAATATAGAGTCTAGATCGAACAATACATTTTGAAATGCAAGAAACAATTTTTATTGACAAGATGAGCCGGGTATTGGAATGACATTGAGTCAGCAACAAAGCTAACCACGCATCATTCTTAGTTGGGTGGTGCTCTGGTGAGGTTCGCGCCTTCTTTCCTATCAAACATTTATTGTCCTTATCTCTTCTTCCTTTTGTGTTTATTTCTCTCTTGTAACACTTCTAATCCTCAGCACTTATATTATGATCTAATTGTGTTGCAAGTGCTGTAAAACTCTTATTAAACAGACAAAACCAAACAAAACATCAACCCATTTCCGATAACATTACAGTAATCCTTTTGTCGTAAGACAAACCTGCCAGCCTGTTGAATCTCATTTTGTTCTTCGTTTCTCCTTGAAGTGCTGGGTTTTTCTTCATTTACTGAAATATTTCTTTCGAACGTGAACAAATAGTCTGAACTGAACATTGTATTTTCTACTATACTGTAGTGTTGAACTGTTTTTTTGTACTACATTGTATTTATCTGCAAAAGGTCCTTTAAGCACAGACAGCAAAGTTTTTCCAAAGAGAATTCAACTTTCTTCTTTTAGAAAGTGTACCAAAATTAAATATTTTCTTGTACTCAAATTATGTGTCTTTTCTTCGCGGGAGAGAAATTACTTATATTTTCTTGCTTTTTCTTTCATTTAGAATTGGAAGTTCGACAAATTATTTCTGGAACACATGCAACTGATACCAAAGATATAAAAAACTGCAGTTTTAAAAAAACGGGGAAAAAAGGAAGAAACAAGAAAATAAAAACCAGTTTGTGGTTTACCTCTGTACCGTTAGCTACCGCTACTTTTTATCCCTTGAAACTAGACTTGTTGAACAAGAAGTACAAGACACCGAAAGACGAGGTTCTCAAAGGGATTTGCTAGTCCGGTGACCCATGGCCGAAGACTTATACACTAACAGATTCAACGGAGGGTTCCTGCATGTCAACTTGAGCTTTTTAGCTGGTTTTCTTGCTGCTACTATATTTCTTTGTTTGCACAGAAAAAGAATAGCCATTGGCAGTTCACTTTTCTTATGATTAGAATATTATTGCGTATGTCATAAAAACTAAAAGACTATAAAGTGACGGTGAGCGATTTAGAATCATATGTTTTCTGGTTATTTTAAATTCACTTGAAAGAGTGTAAATGCATCTTTTGGTAGTTGTTTTTGTTGTTGTTGTTGGTTTTTTTTTTAAAGGTTTTTTTAAATCAGAAGCTTCATTTGTATTATAACTAAACACCAACTTTACACCAAAGTAAATCTAGATAAGAGAAACCCGTGTCTCCCTTAAGGCAATAAAATAGCATGGTCTGCATTCAGTAGACCTTTTCGCTTCACTAACAAGAGAAATGTCCTTCTCCCAACCCCCCCC